GCCATCTCTCCAGCCCTTCCTTGCCTTTTTGAGACAGTTCAGGCTAGCCTCGAGCTCACCTTGTAGCCCAGGCTGATCTCAAACTTGCAACAATCCTTCCTGCCTCAGCCTCCTGAGTGCTGGGACCAAAGGCTTGCACCACGACACCTGGCTACCACATGGCTCTCAAATCTTAAGAAAAGTACTTAAGTGAGATTTCAGTGAACTAATAATGATAGGTAAAACTTTAAATAGCAGATGATCTGGATGCTATCTTAGATTAGTGCATATTAAAAAATATTTCTGGAAGTGGGACTTTAAAATTCAGATTCTAAATTTCATAGATTTTGCCTAAGATTTCATTCAATAAAAGGATAATGTATAATATATGACAAAATTTGTACTTTGGGAAAGAGAAACAACAATAGTTAACAAAAGGCAAAAAGCACTCTGCATTGGATTTATAAATAGCTCCCTACTTTACAAATTCCTGACAAGCCATGGCCTGGGCACGCTTGTACTGACGCTTATTTGAGAAGCTGGGTAGAGAGAACCGTGAGTTTGAGCCCAACAAGATTCCATTTCAAAAAGCAAACCAAAAGCATAATGTAGATGATGACATCTAGTATTTATAATGTTCTTAAGTGTAGAAGTAAAAGTTACTATATTTAAGAAGCTTACATATGAACAGATATCAATGTTACTCATTTCTGGAACTCTTTTAAACTCAGCTTTCCTTTTTTTTTTCCCCACTGAGGTACTTTATTTATATGTTTTACATCCTTAGAAAAAGACTCCCAGGACTTTCCCTCCTGTGCGTTTTCCTCTCCTTGCGCTTCTTGGTGATCCACGATGCCAGTGGAGGTTGATACAATGAAACCAAACTAAGGTGGGAGCAGGTTATTCTGCCATTTTTCCAGGTCTTTCAGTTGCACATCCTTCCTGGGGCTGATTACGCCACACTTGTTTCACCTACATGTGAGGTTCACAACAATTTTTCCAGCCCTGTGATCATCAATGATATCAAACCATGCTTCTTCATCAGTTAGAAACCAGACGATGACTTTGGAGTACTGGCATTCGCCTCTATTTTAAGCGCTGGATATTCATGTGCACCACTATGGTGGCATGGGAAGATGGCGGAAAGAGGTGAACTCAGCTCTTATAAAAATGCAAGATCAAAAAATAGCATATTGGGGGCCAGGGAGATGGCTCAGTGGAATAATAAGCACTTCCCTGGCAAGTGCAAGGGCCTGAGTTCAATCCCTGGTTCCGCCAAATAAAAGCATATTTTCCATTAGCCATACATAATACTTTGGTAATTAAGTGTTAACTGGAAGAGTTCCAAACACATTATGCCAATTACAATGAATAAATTCAATCTATCAAAGAGTAAAAATTAAATCCACAGATATTTGTAAAGTGCTTCTATGAGAAAAACTTACAGATGAAGTAAATTTTTGAACATGGTAATTTTAACTTTCAGAATTAAAAAGCATTTTTACCTGACAACTTCCAAGGCCAGAGCAATATCCCATACATCTGCCCCTTGTCCTTCAATGGGATACACTTCCAAGAGAGGCACATTGTACTCCAGTTCCTCCAAAACCCCATCAACCAAGTCCCGTGGAATGTTGGCAATGTTAGAAGAAAACGGCTCCGCAACAGAAACAGTAACTTCAAAACAAGACGATGAGTCCTGGTATGGTTTACAAGTTACCTAAGATAAATATTGAAAATTATAGTTTCAAATATAGGTAAACCCTATTCATTCAAATTCATATATGAGGATTTTTTTCATACATGAAATAATGATAAAGTTTCTTTTAATTGTTGGCCTTCTCTAACAATCAACGTAGAGAATAATCTGCATACACATCCCATAAAATATCACCAGTGTTTCAAAGTCTACTACTTTTTTGTTTTTGGTACCAGGGATCAAACTCAGAACCTTGAGTTTGCCAGGAAGGCGCTTATGCCACTGAGCTATCTCCCCAGCCCCCAAAGTCTACTTCTTAAACAATTTTTAATAATCCCAAAAGGAATTGTGTATCTCCTTCTATATTATTTACTATATATGTCTAAGTTTGAGTTGTCAGTGGTACTGGGTTTTGAACCCAGGGTCTTCCCACTGAATTACACTCCC